CTTGAGAAGAGGCGAAGACTGAAGCAGGTCTCCTTTTGGGTTGACGTGATTTGTAGTTGGCTGGTGCGTCTGTAAGGTCCATATGGGGGAACTCTTCCACTGGGTTGTGGTACAATTTCAGGTTGCTTGCATTCACCTGTTGGGCCAGTACCTTACCCTCTTCAGTCATCAGCGTGCATCTAGATTTCTTGGCATCCACAGACACAATTGTGTAGGGCCCCTTGAATTGGTAGTCCATTTTGCCACCCTTCTTGCCGGCGTGCATCATGTTCCACTTCATAACCTTGGTACCCACTTCAAGGGGCTTATGTGCCTGGTGTCTTCTATCAAAATAGTCCTTCTGGACGCTCTGCTCCTTGGCAATATTCTGGGACACAGTTTTGAACATATCTTCACGGATGGCCTTTGCTGACTCGAAAACCTCCTTTTGGCTGACTTCCTGTTGTTCAGATTCAAGTTGCTTCTCCAGGTTGCGCGCCTCCTCTTCTGAGATGTCATCCCACTCAGGTTTGTTGTGCAGTAGATCCTAGCCTCTAAGATCTAATCTAGATCTAGGTCTAAATATTATATCTAGTAGATCCACAGCCAGCTAGATCTACTCATTTTAAAGCATTATATTAGATTATTAATACTAACAACACAACCCTAATGCAAGTTGATATCTTACCTTATTGATCTATAGTGAATGTACCCCCAGCGGCCACGTACCCCCAGAGGCCACAAGGCCTCAATATCTAATGAAAAAAGACCATCCCTGATGTGAAAAGAGACTGGTTTCTGGAGAAAATAGGTTGCTTTTCATGTCTAAACCAAAACATTCACCAAATCAAGTTCAATGAACAGAAAATCGAGCTTTGAACTTTGTGTCTCTGGGTATGCAACTGTGTCGTTGGGGGTCAATCTATCTAGGCTTTGTAGATTCTTGGCCTACATTTAGTTCTAGTGATTGAAGGGACGATATGGAAGGGAATGGGTGAAAAGTTAGGTACCCTGAGTTTAGATTGTTCTGCAAAGCAAAATATGGTTGTAGGCCTATAAGAAAGCTATTAAATGGACCAAACCGCAAATTTTCTTTAATTTTTGCGTGCCCGAACTGATGGTTCATCCTTCGCCCCTGCAGGTGAGAGAGAGAGAGAGAGAGAGAGAGAGAGAGAGAGAGAGAGAGAGAGAGAGAGAGAGAGAGAGAGAGAGAGAGAGAATACTCAGTACCAGTAGTGGATGTAATTGAACCACTGGCCTTCTGTTCGCTGAAATCACTGGATACAGGCTGGCTTGGCACAGAAATTTCCACTTCTTTGTCTTCATTTAACTGTTCCCAGATATGATCTGAGATATCAAAAACAATAGGCCTACTCCCGTCATGTAGCACTTCTCTCTCACTCTCCATTTCACAGATATTTGGGTTGACGTGATTTGTAGTTGGCTGGTGCGTCTGTAAGGTCCATATGGGGGAATTTTGACATGGAATGATGCAAATATAGAATATTGCTGATCATTACTTTCTGCTGCTCTTCACAAGGGCAAACAATGCTTAATTAACAGCTTATATTTAATTACTTGAACGTGTCCCTTGGACTATAAACTAGTATTTTAATAAGCTTTATCCTACTAAAGTGAGAATAGATTTATTGCCCAACCTCATCAAAGCGGCCACAAAATCTGTTTAGAAAAAGTCATAAAGTCAAAATTTCATGTGGGCTAATGACCTTCTAGTCGGTTCCGAAATATCCTGGTGGCTCCCAAATATCCTTCCACTACAGTCAGGACTAATCGGAGTTGTTCCCAAAAATCCTGCCACCAGGGCCAGGATGAATCGGAATGGTTCCTATTTGACCGGTTCCGAAATATCCTGTGACACCGGTCCCAGAGTGGCTCTGTAGGTCTGACCTGTAGCTCGCATAGCTCGCACCGAGCAAATGAACCTATACATTATCGTGTGACTGAGCAGCGTCGCTGTTTGGTCTGTCTGTGGTCCGCTGAGCTGCGTAACACATCAGACGTGCTATTCAACAGTGTTGTAAGACACGTCGGACATGTGTCGCACACAGCCTCGTTTCGTGTTTATTTGCGACCGGACATGTGTCGCACACAGCCTCGCTTCATGTTTATTTGCGACTAAGATTCTTCACAGATATCAAAATCAGCAAGAAGTAAATATTATCAGGTGCTTTACTATTAGATATTGATGTTAGCCTCAACACTTGACCACAAAATCCCAAAAAATGCTCTTTATCCTACATTAAAATTTCTATTCGAGAGGTTGACCTAGTTTCGACTGTTTGTTTACATTCGTAGGCCTGTGTGCTTCTAGCCCAGTGCGGCTGTGCTGACACGCAGACGGCGTGCGCTTGGCCAGCTACAGGTCAGACCTACAGAGTTTAGAGCTCCTCTGGGACTGGCCTAATAGGGGGTGCCCACAAACGCGATCGGGTCGGGTCGGATGGGGTCGGGTCCATCGGATAGTCGGGGGTAGCCAAATTGAAGGTGCAAAACGGCCATTTTGGCACGAACCGATCGATTCGGTCGGTGACCTAGAAAAACAAACGCGTTTGTTTTCAGCCCTGCGAATAGCGCGATCGGGTGGTTTGCAGCAAGTCTCAGCCACGTGTCCATTTTGACCCATGAACACACTAAGTAGGTACTCTGGGAATTCCAGGTTTCGGTCTCATGGAGACGAATAAGAAGAAGGAGGAAGAGCACTACAAAGGGAGGGTGGTGAGAGTGACAGGGAGGGAGAGACATAAGTTGAAGGATATAGTATGCAGAGACCTAGATTAGATTTATCTAGGTCTCTGATATGGGAAGTGAAAAATAGACAAGACAGGAGAGAGACACTAAAGCAAGCAAGCAAGCAGGCACTCACGCACACACACACACACACACACACACACACACACACACACACACACACACACACACACATGCAGAGAGAGAGAGAGAGAGATTTAGAGAGAGAGAGAGAGGAGAGAGAGAGATAGAGAGAGAGAGAGTGAGGGGGGAGTGCGGGAAGTCTAAGAGTACCGTAGCCTATTTTATGTATTCATGGGTCAAATGTTCAGCCAATCGTAGCTCGGTTTACGCCCTCTGGGTAGTCGCATGTAGATTAAAGGTTTCTCTACTTTAACTTCCAGCTCGCCAGGTACAATCGCGGTGGGGTTATAGTGTGCACTGAAACCACAAGAAAGCGAACCGACCCGATCGCGTATGTGGGCACCCCCTATAACTCTTTAAGATCGTACCGGACACATACAGACGATTGTCAGCAGACCAAAGCTAATGGTGAGGAGCATTTCAAACCATCACACACAAATCTGAAACACAAACTTGCGTATTTCATAATATGCAAGCTGTTGTCTGCTCTGTGAAGTTTCAGCAGCAAGAAAAAAAATCTTTTTGAATAAACAAGTAGATTCTAGAGTTTCTTTATAGTGTCTTTAAACTTCACTGAATGACCAAAATGCGCGTCCCCAATGAGTTAGAAATATTTGTGACGCGACGCAGTGGAATCAGGCGCTCGTCAATTTTTGGAAATGTGAAGTTATTGGTATCATTGTGTTTTCGGCTCTTTCGTCCATGCAGACGGTCAATTTAGCTTACGATAATATCAAGGTTGTCTTTATGCAGCTTCTTTCATCGCTAATTCTTCCTATGTTTGAAGCACAGATTCTGTCGCAGTGCTTGCTTGTCAGTGAGGTGGACCAAAGCTCTGTATGTCCGCTGTTTTCCTTTGGTCGTTGGGGCTTCTCAACCTGGTTGTTTCTGGGGTTGCTCTCTAGCATTTTAGTTCTTTCGTTTATCATTTTCCTCCATGTTTTCTTGTCTTCAGCTATTTCTTCCCAGGTGCTGATATCTACTCCAAACTTAGATAGGCTGTTAAAGCAGGAAACTTTGTACCTCAATTTTGGCCTTCCTCTTGGCCTCTCTTACTGGGAAAGTTCTCCAAAGAGAAGTTGCCTTGGAATCCGGTTGTAGTCCATTCTGCTGACATGGAGATCTTCTTCTTAAAATGGGGCGGGGGAGCTACACCTGAAGGCTATCTTGTCTATTAGCCGACCACATTTTACAATTTTTCACACATATAACAAGCATAGTAAGGAGTCTTAAAATCCGAAATCAAATTTAATTTTTTTAAATTTTGGATTTTGTTGACATGTCTTATATAAGGAATACAGCACTTATTGTCCATGGAAATTAATCGGATTTTTGCATGTATGTTAACAAACATTAGATCTAAAAATTTGTAGGTTGATTTTTTCCGAAACGTATTAGAACATTTTTTAATGAATTATTTTCCTGAGGTAGTATTCTAGTTTACAAAAATTCCGTGAAAATCCACACTCCAGACACTCCAGTGGGTGGTTGGCGGGTGCTCTGGTGTGGTCTGCTCTTTCTTTCCTATCAAACTTCTATAGTCCTTATCTCTCCTTCTTCTTTTTTATGTTTGTTACTCCCTTGAAACACCTCTAATCGCTCATTTGACCATATGCAGTTGCAAGCGCCGTACAACCTCTACTAAAACTAAACTAAACACTCCAGACACCACCAACAAAAATTTATTGATATAATTTATTATATAAAGGAGTGTGCTGAGGACACATGCTCCATAAATCTTGATCTTTGTTTTCAAATGCTCGTTTTGTCAATCTTTCAAAAGTTGTTTCTGCTTTCACAAAGTGATGTAATGGAGCTGATGGTAGATCCCAAGTAACAGAACTTGTCCACTGTCTGGAAACGGTGGTGACAAACATGCCCATTATGGGAAGAAATAAGGAATTTTGGCGTTCTTAGGCAATGAAATAGTTGTAGGAGAGGCTGAGGCAGAAAAAATGCCTACAACTCAAATTCCATAATTTTGAGCCGAATCGGGACTCCCCTCCCCCCCCCCCCCTAAACACAGAATAGTTGTCATCCTCTGGGGGTTTGCCCTGGCCAGAACTTCAACATTGGTAACATTGTTATGCCTCAAAATGCCTAAGATCTTGCGGCAGCATCTGTGATGGAAAATGTCGAGGAGCTTTTCTTGACTACTTACAAGATCCATGTTTCAGATCCATAAAGGAGTGTGCTGAGGACACATTCTCCATAAATCTTGATCTTTGTTTTCACATTATGCTTGTTTTGTCAATCTTTCAAAAGTTGTTTCTGCTTTCACAAAGTGATGTAATGGAGCTGATGGTAGATTCCAAGTAACAGAACTTGTCCACTGTCTCAATTTCCTTGTCGTTCAGCCAAATACGGCTCTGCTCGGCACATTCCTGAGTAAAGATAACTGTTTTCTCAACACTGATGACCAAGCTGAAGACCTTGCGGTCCATAATTGCTTGTAGGGTTGATTCACTGTGAGCAACAAACGCAGCATCATCGGCGAAGAGAAGGTATCATTGTAAAGACTCTTCATTTGTTTTGGTTTCGGTGAAAAAACTACTCATCTATCATGAATTAAAGTCGAGATATTTGCCATTGAAGGGGGTGAGGGTCGCCTGGTTATGGAGGTAAAATTAGCAAGAAAATGGCGACCAACGTTTGGCGACTTCTAAAGCTTAAGAGTCCTTAGAAACTGCATAATATTATGTGAGGCAGCGTGGTGGAATCAGGCTATCGTCAAAATAATCAAAGTGAAGAAACTTGCATTTTTCCGCAGGTTTGTGAATTTTTATCAAATTTTTGTTTTTTGGGTGAACACCTTTCATGCCCATTAAAGAACTCATTTCTGTGTGGATTTTTCTGAAAAGCGTTGATTAAAGGCATAAAAAATGTAAATTTTCAGTTACCACGGACTCTTAAGCTAAGGAAATAACTAATCTTTGGCGCCATCTTCTCATTAATTTTACCTCTGAAAACAGATGACCCCCACCTCATTCCTCATTCTTTTGCAAATATCTCGACTTGTATTCAAGATTAATGGATATTTTTTGCATCCAAATAAAGACAAATGAACAAGCTTTGAGATGATATCAATAACTCTACATGCCCAAAAATTGACGAGAGCCTGATTCCACCACGCTGCCTCACATATTTTTTTTTTCTTTTTTACCTTAAATCAACATTTTTTAAAGTAAAATCCACAAAGAAATGTGTTGTTAAATGGACCGTAAGGGTGTTGAATCAAAGAACAAAATTTGCCAAACGGACAGAAAAAGTACCAGTTTCTTCGATTTCATGTTTTTGACGAGCGCCTGGTTTCGCCAGAATGATTCACATTTTTAAAAAAATCCATAAAGCTTTTACGTACATATCGGATCTCCTCGAGCTGACTCTCATAGCAGGAAATTGCGTCATCCTTCTGGTTGATCTTCCGTTTGAGGTCGTCCATCTCCCGGCAGCATGTGGTGTAGCGTGAGCGCACGCGTTCCATCTCCTCTTGGACCTGAAGACAGTTGAAATTACATGTAAGGTCACTGAGAACGTCATGTACATAGAGAAAACGTGAGTGAGGTAGCGATACGTGCGCTAGAGCATTCCAATGGTGTATTGAACCGTCGTAGAACGTTGACACAACGTATTGCAAGGCTATCTTCGTAAATATAAATCAATTTTTGAAAGTTATTGTGATATAGTGTTAGGAGAGAGTAACTGTTGTATTAAACGAGTTATGTCCTTTATGTCTGTGTACATCACGTGACCATTAAAATTTGTTTTTCTCATGATCACTCTCGAATTCCGGCAGTGCAGTTCAGAACAAACTCTCGAGCAAGCAGCACGTGTCCTGTTGAAGACACTAGTTATAATGAGCACCTGTTTTTGCAGCAAAAGCAAGATCTGCTAGGAGCATAAGAATAATTATTTTTATTACGACAGTCTGCTTCAAAACAGAGCGATATACGAGGTCTGTCTCAGAATAACATTTGCCTGTCATGCTGCCTTCACAAATAATCATAAATCACCTTGTAGTTGGTATCAACAGAAATCTTATTCAAATACCTATTCAACGTATAAACCATCAAGTTCCAGACATTTCTCCATTCAATGTACCCAGCGGTCAAAAACAGAAGTCAGTGAGCGTTTGTCCAAGGTCATGATTGCATTTCTCATAGCCTCTTGAATCTGGTCCCCGTTAATTCTCAAATCGCCGACCCCGAAGCATTTCTTTCACCTTGGGGAAAAGGTGGAAGTCGCATGGGGCGAGATCGGGCGAATAGAGTGGGAGTTCCAATGATTCCCACGAGTAGCCCTCGGAAAGCTCGTGCACAACTCTGGACTTGTGAACAGGCGCGTTGTCATGATGCAGGATGACGCCTTCTTCAAGCAAAGCGGGTCTTTTTTCTGGATCGCAGGTCTCAGCTTGTCTTTGAGGACGAACCTGTAGTAGCCACCATTGACAGTTACACCAGGTAGGATTGGCCAGCTCAGTATGATGCCATTCATGTCGAAAAAAACCCCAATGTGCATCACCTTTCCCTCCCCGTGTTTTCTATGGGCTTTCTTTGGTCTCGGCTCATCAGAATCAAGCCACACAGCCGACTGTCTTTTCAATTCGGGATCAAATGAGTACACCCAAGTTCCATCGCCAGTGATGATTTTATTAAGAAACTTTAAACCCTCTTGCTGAACACGCGTCAAAAAGCGCCGCGCCGCTTGAGCACGGACCTGTGTCTGCTCTGGTGTCAGCAAATGGGGCACCCATTTTGCAAACACTTTTTTTTCCAAGACCGTTGATTAATATTCGGTGAACTGTGGCACTGGATATGCCGACTATTTTACTTATTTCCCTACATGTTCTTCTATTATCTTCCTCCGCAACAGCTGCAATTCTCCCTACATTGTCGCCACAAACAACGACTGGGAGGGGGGGGGGGAGACTTCCCAGCGTGCGTTTCATATTTCACGTCAGACCTCAAACCTTCAACCTCCCTGATCCATTTTCTTACTGTTTGAATTGATGGGGCATTATTCCCTATTGCTTTGCATAGACCACCATGGGTTTCAACTGCTGACATGTCGAGAAGAGTTGAAAATTTGATCACAACTCGGACATCGTAACGTGAAAAGGTTGTATTGATGTTTTGCTCAGCTATTTTCCTCGGATTTGCCTTGGACACGGACTAGGCCTGGGCAGAAACCGGGGACTTCCGTGACAGCGAGAGTTCAAAGGACCGAAAGACTTGTCGTTTTGAGCCGCGATCTCTGACTATGTCATATATACGTAGCAAAGTTGCGGGGTGACTATTATAATTGATATTTACCCCTGTAACTCAGTGCAATATGACTTCCATTTTTCTTGTCTAAAAAGGGTTCTTTATTACAAACATTAAGCCCTCCCCCCTCCAAACACACACACACACACACACACACACACACACACCTTTTCCACCCCCAAAACACTCCATCAAGGCCATTTTAACATTCCATTGTTGTTGTTTTCCTATCATTGTTCAATGTCATTGTTAATCTAAGAGAACTGCGTTCGTCTATAAGCTTGCTTTCCTTCGTAAGGTCTTTAATAACGTAATGAATAGTAGACCTCTTACTGATAAAAAAAAATTTACTATACCAAACTCCCACTGATCAAATGAGTTAAAACTGAATCTCTTCGGTGTTATGAAGACTTAGATTTAAATTTTGAAAAAAAAAAAACAGACCGGGGAGGGGGAGGGAAGGGAGTACGATGACATAGGCTAACGTCACATCCGCTCGCATCGAAAGTCGACCTTTGCCTAGTTAAGTCAGCCTACAGATTTACGTCACCAAAGCCAGCCCCCTCCCCCCCCCTCTTTT